GGGAGGGAGGAAGGAAGGAAGGAAGGAAGGAAGGAAAGAAAGAAGGAAGGGAGGGAGGAAGGAAAGGAAGCCAGCCACACTTCTTGGTGGAGCTATTAAACCATTTTTGTCTCAACTCAATTTCCTCCTTCGGCTCCTAAACTAGTTGCCTATCTCCACAGACAGACTGGGCCCCCTTGACCTGTTCTTCCCATTTGCCCCCAAGCCCCCTGTCCTGTGGCTGACAAATCCCTCCACACTCTCAGGCTTGCCCTCCGGGGCCTCACAGCTGCCTGTCCTTGTCACCCTGTTCAGAGGGCTCGTTTCACCCACTTTCCTCGCCAGACCTTGAGGCAGAAATTACATCTCATTCATTGTTGTGTCATCACAGACCGGATTACTTCTTAAATAGTGGGACTTGCTAAAATTTAGAAGGAAGAAGTCAGAGTCGTCGGACAGGTTTATTGAAGTTGAGCATTTTGCCCCTAATCCAAATGGTTTGTGGTACAGGCTGCGTGACACCTCTCTGACCACAAGGCCCCTCACCAAACGAGGGCAGATGGACACCTGTTCATTCTGGAATGTAGTCGGGCGTTAAGCTGCGGCCCCGTGTGGCTCATGGCTCGTGGTTCATGGCTCGGTCGCTGGACCCCATCAGGCTCTCTGGAACGTCTGCTTGCACACCTGGCCCTCGCAGAACATTTCCTGGGATCAGGAGGAAGGAAGAGGAGGGAGGTGACTGGGCACGTGGCCTGTTATTACTCACAAGGATCTGACACAAACGTGTGCTGTCTTTGCCAACCCCCTCCTCCAACGCTCACACCAACTCAGTTCTGACAACCACCAACCCAGAGTTAGTGCAGAGCCCACGGGTACAGGGCTCACTGCCCCCACTTCCGGCATCAATCGAAGTCCCAGGCCACCTGTAATTCTGACGAATCAATTATACATTGAGGGTTCCCGTGACTCCCTCCTCAAGTGCAATAATTTGCCTGAATGGCCCGGCCGGCGTGGCTCAGTGGTTGAGCATCGACCTATGAACCAGGAGGTCATGGTCGATTCCTGGTCAGGGCACATGCCCCGGTTGTGGGCTTCATCCCCAGTGTGGGGTTGGGGGACTTCTAAATCTCAATCTCTTCATTTTTTTTTTCATTTTTAAATTGGGAAAAAACAGTAGATTGATAGAATTGCTGGTCATGGTCTCCCTGCTTAACATTTTCTTCAACATTAGATCATCTCATTAACAAGAAGAGTGATATGGCAAGTACCAGGTGGAGCGTGTCGCCTTCGATCCAATGGGTCCAGCCTCTGTCCTTCTTTTCCCCCTTCTGGACACAGGTGAGTCTGTCATTGTCCCAGGTGACCAAGCTCTGCGCAGTGGAGGGAGAAAACATTGGTTTGTTGTGACAGGATCTCGACTATTACTAAGTTGACGGCCAATTAACCTGGCCAAGTTAAGGGCCTATGTTATTGCTGCGATTTTTACCTTGCATTTCCTGTTATCCAGGCCTTTGTTATCTTCATCAAATTCTTCTCCAACTTTAAACTGAACAAGGTAGTTCCTTAGGCTGCTGTACGTGTGGATGGTGAAAGAATCCCCATTCTGCTCAATCACCTTCTGCGGCTTCAGCAGCTTGGCTATCTTCCGAGTGGCAAAGTCAATACCTTAAAAATAATTTTAAAAAGAAATCTCAGCTTTCACCAGAGAGGCAAACGCAACGAACTTGGCAGCTGTCCTCATAAGCGTTGCATTTGATGGCGAGTGTTTCTCTGACCGTGTCAATGTCATCTGCTGCTGAGACGGGATCTGGAGGGAAAGCTATCCTAGCAAACCTCCATCCAGAGGCTGGTTAAAACTTCAACAGCTTTGGGGGAAGACGCAGTGGGCTGGCGCGTGCCTCAGGGGTGGATTGGAAGCCGGGCACAGCAGAAGCACATCTGCTAGAAGGAGGGCACCTCTCAGCTGTCCGGTTTTTTTTTTATGTGTGTGTTTTTAAATATATTTTTATTGATTTCAGAGAGGAAGAGGGAGAGATAGAAACATCAAGGATGAGAGAGAATCATGGATCAGCTGCCTCCTGCACGCCCCCCACTGGGGATCGAGCCCACAACCCGGGCATGTGCCCTTGACCGGAATCGAACCCAGGACCCCTCAGTCTGCAGGCCGATGCTCTATCCACTGAGCCAAACCGGCCAGGGCACCATCTGCGGGTTTTATCACTTGCGTTAGGGGGTGACAAAGGGACAAAGGAAGCCATCCAACCTCAATTACAGCAACTCTGCCTCTTTCTGCTTTATGTATTTATGCTTCAAATGAAGACAGAATTTGAACAGTTTCTGAGCAACAACTATTAAAAAAAAAAAACACCACACACACATCCCCAAAACCTCAAAAACCACTGCAATCATGCACACGATTCTATTCACTTAGGAATCTTGAATAAGCTTTAAAAAGGGCCACACATGAAAACATGGAATACTGTGAAGGTCAGGGTTTTGGTATAGAAAGTGGATTTGAACGCTGTTTCTCATTTATTAGCTGTGAGCACGTACTGTGGCTAGAGGTTGTGAATGCTTGCTCCCTATTCTTCAGGAATTTATAACCAAGAATGAAGGGGAAACAGAGTAATCGAAATCCCCCTTTAAGAGAATCTGCTCCAATGAAAGGAAAACTGAGAACAATCTTCTTGAACCTAAAAGCGCTTGGGTTATTTGAGTTCTGTGCCGTAAATCCCTGTAAATGCCATGTGCTAATTTTACACAGATTCTGAATAAAGGACATGGACTAATTCACCGAGCACTTTGTTAATTTAAATATTTAACTGGGACGAAGACCTCAAGCTCTGTTTTTGGCCAAAAGGGACAGATCACCTGGCTGTATTTTCTTCCATCCAATGAACGAGATAAGGACTTTCTGGTTTTTATTACAGGAGCCATCTTTATTCACTTGAAATATAAACCTCTGTGTTTAAAAAAACATGTTTTAGTTCACTGTGTAAAGTCATGAGACATGGCTCAGATAGGAGAGAATGCTAACTCCCAAAATGAACTTAATTCAAACAACTGAACGTAAAAGGAGCTTTCACGTGCTCTGGCTGGTGTGGCTTGGCTGGGTGGAGCGCCATCCCATGCATCAAAAGGTGGCGGGTTCAATCCCTGGTCAGGGCACATACCCAGGTTGTGTTCAATCCCGGGTCAGGGCACATGCAAGAGGCAGCCAATTAATGTTTCTCTCTCTCCCCCTTCTTCTCTTTAGGATCAATCAATACTTTTTTTTAAAAGGAACTTTCATTTTTTAAAATGAAATATAGGGTTTATTGTAGGTTTTCTACCCAAGTATCCTTGTAATTCTTTTTTTTTCTATTTTTGGTAATTTTTTATTGTGGTCAATACACACATTTTACCCATTTAAAGGCATACAAGTCAGTGGCATTGAATAATCATAATGTTATGCAACCAACATTATTTATTTCCAGAAATTTTTCATCACCCCAAACAGAAACGCTGGATCAGATGGGGTTCAGGACACTCTACCTCAAAACCCGGCACCTTGGCAGAGTGAATATTTCCAGCCGCAGGTCCCTGAGGAAGGCAGGTGCAGGGGGGACCCTCTGACCGCCCCCTGACACAGGTGATAAAACCCTCAGATGAGAGGTTCCCTCCTTATAACAGGGGAAGGAGCAGCCTTAGCTTCACCCACAAGGGACACAGAGAGGAATCTGAACACTTGCTAAGTTTCTAAGCTTGTTGGTTACTTTTTAGTTCTACAGTTTCTATTTGTTTCCTTTTCATCTCGGCAGATGTTACTTTTTATAGAGTCTGATTTCTTGCCAAAATTAAGCTCAGCATAAGTGCTTTATAGTCTGTTTCTGATCACTCCAGTATCTGGAGACCCTGTTTGTACACGCAGACCCAGGGTAAGGTCCTGAGATTGAAAATCTACTTTTGCAAGCGGAGGGCAGGAGAGACCGAAAGAATAGGCTGGCCCCTCCGGGCTGGTAATTAACAGAGTTTCTTATGGGAACATGCAAGACATGTCGTGGATGACTACAAGATGAAATGGACCCCCTCACTGCTTGGCAGGTGCCAAATAATTATATAGGGTACAGTGGGGGGCAGTCCCAGGTAACGGCACCTAAATGCTACCAGGTTCGGGGAATGACATTACATGCCTGACTAGGGCAGGACAACAACCTGTTCCAGGGACCAGCGCTGGCAGGAGGCAAGGGAAGGGGGCGAGTTTATGTCCGAATAAACATCAGCTACAATCAGACAGTCTCTAAGGGGGTTTGCAGAAAGTCACCTCCTTTCTGGCCCAGCCCAGCTTGCAGGACGCTTGCTGGTCACGTCATGGAGCCCTCTCTTTCACTCTCCCCCCTCCCACCTGCACCAGGGCGGACTGCAGTTAGGGACACGACTCTAGACTCTTATCAGCCTGGCACCAGAAGAGCCTACATAATAAACGTTACTAAGTAGCCCTTATTTTCCCTTCGTTTTCCCATATATTTACTTTCCTGTTGTTTGCCACCCTGGGAACTCAGAGTCCTTTTGTCTTGTCACTTCTCTACAGAAGTATTACTCGTCGCTAAGAAGCTATATAAGTCAGGCTCTAACCACTCCTTTGAGATACTCATCGCCCCAGGCCGAGTGTGTCCACCTCTGTGTGTCTGTCCTTTGTTAGTCTAATTCACAGGGCCCCTGCCAATGAACCAGGTGGGTAGAGGAAACTACATCTTTTCCTTCTGCACGAGGTTTTGTGTCAATATAATTCAGATTTCGCTTGAGAAGTTCCAAACTTCCCTACTTTGTGTGAGAAAGGACAGGGAGGAGAATCTGAAAAACACACTGGGGCACAGAACTGGACATTTCAAAGTGGTCACAATGGCCAATTTTCTGTAGTAGGTATTTTACCACAATAAAAAAAAATTGGAGGCCTCGCCTGGCAACTGCTTGGCCGGAGCGGGCTGGTACCGCGTCCCGCCTCCAGGGGGCGCTG